AAATTTTTTCTTTTATTGTTGTGTAGATTTGTGCGACAGTTTCTATTTAGAATTTTGATATGATATGCAAACTTGCTTATATAAATAAGCATTTTTAATAATCCTACACTAGGATATGACATTTCATTTTGAGAAAAATGAAGTTTTCTAACATATTTGTCCTTTATAATTATAGATTAAAAACACAAGGTAACAAGACCAAATCCAAATAAATAAATAGTGTGATGTTTCGGTAACAGTGTTTTTTACCTGAAACGTCACACACTATTTATTTGGATTTGGTCTTGTTACCTTGTTTTTATAATCTATAATCCAAATTGTACCTTATCAATTATAGATTCATTTTATATATATATATTTGCCTTCAATTATAGAACTTTTACTTTAAGAGTTTCAAATGGGCCATAATGCTTCTGAGGAAACAATAAATATTTGTTATATAAAAGGAAAAGGGTTCTTGAACCACAGTATATAGATCAACCAGTTGTTGCAAGAAATATTGCTTATGTGACACAGGAATCGTGAAGATATCCCATAGAGTGGTAAGCTATGACCCAAAGATAATGATACTCTCTACCAAACTTTGAAGTTGAATCTGAAAGCCAGTGCTCAAGAATTAGGCAAACTGAATACATAACAAATGACCATTCATCATTTTCTTTAACTGAGGAATGTCAACAGTAGCACTACTTTTTTACTTCACAAATTGATGCCAGCTCAGGCAAACTACAGATTGGAAGAATGGAATCCTACCATCAAAATGTAGTGGTTGAGTCCATTTTGTCAAAATGGTCTATTCAAAAATAAATCGATGCTGTGGCTCTGGGGTATAATTTTAAAGGGATGATCCACAACAAATTACATATAAATGGCTAAACCATTTAATAGAATCTGTGTTCTGACCTGCTGGAGTAGTTGTACACTATTTAAAAGCAGAAGTGTGCATTCTTCTATAATAGGATAAGGCCTATCCACATACTGCTTGAAAGGCACTAAAACTCTACTACCTTAGCCATCGAATTGTTGTAATCTTGTTCTGGTCAATGTCCCACTCCCCCATTACTTGTGACACTTCAAAGGCCAGAATGGGTTGGAAGCTGTGGAAAAGGGGTTCTTTGCTTTGAAGGACCAAAACTGATGATAGCTATGAGATCAAAGAACTGGCAGAGATTGTGGAAGATGAGGAAAAACAAAGGCCTGTATTTTGACTGACTATTTGGCCATTAAGAATCAAAATTAGTCTTGTATTTTGACTGTATTTTACAAACTTATGAAACAGTGACAAAGAAATTGCAAAACCTGTTTACCCTATGCATAGTAAAGAGTAAATAAGTATAAAGATTTAAATTTTAGACCTTTTTTTTCCTAGTATCTCAACAATATTTTCAACAAAAGATAAAATATTTCTTTATATTTTCAAGTCATCTTGTAAAATATTTTCTATAATAATAAACTTTTTCAAAATATGATTTGTGACTCTAGTAATACTTACGTATGATGTAAATATTCCCAGACAGATTGTGAAAGAACTGTGCAAAGTTCCTCAACATATGGAGCTTTATTTGGATGGACACCTGAAAAATAATTGAAAATTAACACGCAAACTATTTTGTTTTGATCAAATTTACTTTTAGGTGCAAAATGAATCTCCCTAAATGAAAGTAAAACCAGGAACTTTGCTTTTAATCTTTTCATTTGAAAAATATATTATCATAGTATAGAATTTGAAACATTTCCAGATTTATCTAAATTGAGATGAAAACATTTCACAGCTCACAAAGTAATCTGCTTCCTAACAGCGAGGGAGCCTCCTCTAATCACTGGCTAAATTTTATTTACAAATTATGTTTTCAAAAATTAAAGACAGCACATGCTCTAGTTTTACCTCATATGGATTCATCTCTCTCTTAAACTTGTTACCTACATATTTTGTTTATTGTCCACTTCTTTGTATTTTCTTGCCCAAGTCTATTTCTTTTTTCTACGTCTAGTCTACTTAGTGCATATATTTTTCTATTTGATACATGAATATTTATTAAATTAATTTTTTTGATATATTTGTCATGATGCATTGATTAATTTCTTTGTTTACGGATCAGAAGACTAAAGGTTGTAATTCTGGGCCAGAGACTAGTTTTAAAAAAATATTTTATAGATTTAGTTTCGGTAACAAATTTTATTAGATATTTTCATAGCCTATTTTTGTAAAATAAGATATTACATACCATGATATTGTCTTTGTCATTTAGTTATTTAAAGAGCATGCACCATACTAAAACATAGAAAACCATTTCAAACTATTTTGTATCAAGAATGGATAAGTACAAGGCTAGATTTAAATTTTGGGTTACTTCCAAAAAAGCATTATCTCTAGTACACGTGGTACAGGCCATGATAATAATGGTGGGTAGATATTGGAGACTGCTTTTACTGTAAGTGCACCACATGTCTACACATGTGAAAAGGTCACTTTCAGTAGGTAAAAATATTTTTTTTATTTTTAAACTGAACTTAATACATCAGAGAGATAAGAATAAGGACTGGGAAGACATTCTTAACTCCATTCTTCTATTCAAAGTACCAAGTTATTTTGAGGATTGGGGTGTTTAATAAAACATGCAGTGGGAAATTTATAACAAGTTTGTAAGATCAAAAAAGGGGAAGAATGAAATGACAGTAGTGTTTCTAGGGAAAATATTGATAGGGTTTTCTAGAATTATTAGGTATCTCTGATAATTTCAGATCGATTCATTTGAAAAATGCTTAGAAAATTATCTATATATATAATTGGCATAGATAGATATCAGAATGCTAGCTGGAGTTGTATCTGAAGACTATATCAGGCATGACGATATCTACTGCAATGGTTGAAAGAAAATTACCATTGGAGAGCTTGATATCTGCTTGAATGTTATTTATTGAAGGAGAACACAATTTTGCCCACACATACTGGTAGTTTAGTTAATTTTTGTTAATGGTTGAGAGAGTGTGTGTGTGGTAGGTTGAAATACATAAGAGTTGATGTCAAAAGAACACATGATATGATTTGGCAAGTAGTAAAAAAGGTTGATTCTGCTATGAATTCAATGATGTTGGGAATAGAGAATGGATTTTTCACATTTTTTCATTAAAGGGGTAAAATATGACCCTAAAAGTTTTGAAAGAGGCTGTAGAGAGATGATATATATAGATGAGACAAAAAGGAAATGAGGGCTTCTGGATTTTTGGAACATGTAGATCTAGAGACACGAAGTTGCTAAGGTTTTCAGATGTTCCACATTGATCAATTATTTTTTCATGAGTGGACCTGAGGGTCTTTTTGAACTCACAATATATGGAGATATTTTTTGGCTTCAAGATTTGAAAAAGGTGGCTGTATCATAATGGGTTCCTTGCATCTTTTCTGGTATTTCATTTGGTTCAAGACAGTTATTAAGGCTTTTGAAGTTTTTAATAATACAAGATTTATAGTCTCATAAGGCATCTTATAAAGATTTTGTCTTATTCAATTTCAGCGATGTGGATCTGTGTATAAAAATGTAAGTTTCTGATCGATTTCATATCTTGATTGTTATTTTGCAATGCTAAGTTCATTTGGTTCTTGTATCTAAGGTTTTAGTCAGAATAGTCATTTCTGCTTAGGTCAGGAGTCAGATTTCTGTTATTTTTTCTCTATGATGAGCTATTGCTGTTTGATGGTAACAGTGTTGCATACAGGGAGGTCATTTGAATTGGGTTGAAGGGCGGTTGTGATAGCAGCCTTTTGAAAGTTTTTATTAAGAAGTGGATCATAGAGTAAATTCTTTATTTAAATATTATATTATCTCTTGATCATTTATATCAAACACCAACAAATACTGACCTATTAAAAATATTTGCAGCTTACAACATGGTTCAATCACTTGCATCTGCACTGTGAGAAATCAGAATTCATTATCATCCTCTTCACATCAATAATCTTTAAAGCAACCCCTTCTCAAGATGAGTAATGCACATAATCTAAAATAAAATTCTCAACACAAGAAATTCTTTTCAAAACTATCAAAGGCCTCTTATCACAACCTTCCAGATATTTTCATCTATCTAATGTATGCATTATACTATGCCATCAAACACAGACCTTTTTATGGTAAGGAATCTTTAACAAATATTCAGGCACTATGGCCATAAATTCAAGGACTCACAAACTAATATTGTTATAAACCTATCCAACTCAACCATCTAAAACTCACTGGCCTCCATTTCTTACAGATGTCCAACCCCAAGACTGAGTACAAATAAACAAATGGGGCGCTGACACTTGAAAAGTTGAACTGATTTCTAGATGCGTAGACATGTGGTGCACTTGCAGTAAAAACATCGGCAGATATCCCCCAAAATTATCATGGCCTGTACTATATGTACTTGGGATATTTGAAAAACTCACCCCTGAACAAATAAAAAGAACCATTCTGGGAATGAAAATGAAGGCTTCGAATATGCACCCGACAAAACCTGATATTCTAAAATCCATTAATGGAATTTAGGCATCCATCCAAGATTTGAGCCATACAAATAAGAACTCAGTAAAAAATTACATCCATTATGCACAGATGCACAACACCAAAACTGAATCAGGAGTCAATTTTGAACCATAAAACACCTTATGAGATGTAAAGATCTTGTGAATTCAAAGTTCAGCAAAGATACATCATCCATCATCATTAATCAGGTTGAATAACAGAAAAGAATGCTGGATATCTCCTTGATATGATCACCTTCTCCAAAACCACAGCAACAAAAATACTTAAATTTATTCCAGTGAAAAACTTACCATTCTGAAGAAAAAACAATTGATCATTGCAGGAGAGCCGAGAACCTTTCAGTAAACTCATCCTACCATCATTCCATCAGTGGGTTACCTATATAATTTATAGTCTCTATATATATAAAAGTCAATGTCTGTCGACATTGACTTTTATCTATATAGAGATAATAATATAAATGTGTTTTAAAAATTGTTTTAAAAAAATGCATCGGCCGGGAATCAAACCCGGGCCGCCCGCGTGGCAGGCGAGCATTCTACCACTGATGCTTATAAAAAATGGCCATATTTGGGTATTCATTCCATTCCGGATTACTCCGCGTAAAAAAAAGTTCTTCAAATGAAAAAAAGAAATAGCCAAAAATACTAATCAAAATGTAGCCGAAAATTTTCCTCAGGTTTATATAAAGCGACATGCAAAATTTGTCTGTCGAAAATTTTCGGCTACATTTTGATTAGTATTTTTGGTTATTTCTTTTTTTCATTTGAAGAACTTTTTTTTACGCAGAGTAATCCGGAATGGAATGAATACCCAAATATGGCCATTTTTTATAAGCATCCTTGGTTCAGTGGTAGAATGCTCGCCTGCCACGCGGGCGGCCCGAGTTCGATTCCCGGCCGATGCATTTTTTTTTTACAATTTTTAAAACTCATTTATATTATTATCTCTATATAGATAAAAGTCAATGTCTGTCTGTTTCACGATAAACTCAAAAACTACGCACCAATTGGCGCCAAATTCGATTCCCGACCGATGCATTTTTTTTTTTACAATTTTTAAAAGTCATTTATATTATATATTAAATCAAATACCTAAACACTAATATAATACAATTTTTGCCATAACACACTTTTTTCCTGTAGTTTATGTGTTACTTCTGTATTGTTATTCTATGGCACTTCTAATATTTATTATTGATGTACTTTCAGTATGAAGGAAATTGCAATCGGGGGAATTCTCGGGCGAAGCCGGGTCATACGTCTAGTATATAATATAAGGTCCTCAACTCATCATCACCCCGTTATATCACTTATCTCTGCTCACCGCTCTCAAAGTTTTAGAGACAAATCTAACCTCTTTAATTTAATAAAATGTTTAAACCTATTCTTCTGAAATATCTCTGAATTCATTTCAGAGATAACTTTTCTTACTCTATTCCAAATTCACATTGTGTTCTTTAGACACTTTACCATTTTATCTCAGCCTAACACTCCCTCATAATGGCTAGCTTAAAAAAATATTACTTAGATTTAAATATTGACACCACGACTATCAGAAAATCCCAAAACTCTTCAGGATGTGCCTAAATGTGAATATTTTTTCTCCTTCCAAAAAACCACTATTTAAACAGGTTTAAGGTTCTACAATGGGTAGTTCTTCAACCATCGCAGCAGATATCATTGTCTAATCTAGACTTCTAGATCAACTTCAGACAAAACTGAATATTTCTCAGGCATTGATTAATAGATGAGGTCCTATGCATTTTCTCAAAGAATAACCTTAAACTTATTCAAGAATCCATAATAACCTATAACCCCAACATTTTCTTTTATCTAGAAATGGACTACTAGTGTTATTCTTTCATGAACATTTTGATCATACAAAGCAGTTTTGAATTTCACACAACTGTTTTATTGAAATAACTTTACCCCAACATACTCATTTTACCTCTCACCATTCTATGAGTTTTTCAAAATTAATTTTGTGAAAAACTTTCAAAACGTGCACATATCTACTGTTTTTTGCTGTCTTTCATGGCTTCCAAAAATCAATCTTAGCAGGGCCCTCAACACATCAGATTAGCCTCTATTCTTCATATTGAAGCATTTCACGCTCCTAACCTATCAGATTTACAATGCCCATTGTGTAATACTCTCTTCTCTACTGAGATGCCTTATATTCTGTCTCATGTACTGGATACAGTGAACCTTATGTTTGTGGGACAGATATAACAGTAAGTATACATCTCATCAAACATCGCAAATGTGAGTAAAAAATATGGCAATAAATAAATATTATGCCAGCACAATCACAGCACATATACTTTTAAATTAAACCAAGCAATACTACACAGCAGAAAAAAACACAAGGTAATAAGACCAAATCCAAATAAATAAATAGTGTGACGTTTCAGTAACAGCGTTGTTACCAAAACGTAACACACTATTTATTTATTTGGATTTGGTCTTATTACCTTGTGTTTATAATATATAATCCAAATTGTGCCTTATCACTACACAGCAGTAAAATTGATAACAAGCATTAAAGAATGGTGTTTGAAGACCTTTTTTCTCTGAACCTTGATAGCATAAACCCAGCAAAATATGCTGTTATAGAAGAAAGCAGTAGGAAGTTAGTTCACCAGAGGTTTATTTCTAGGCTGATCACTAAGGTCTTGTGATGTCCTGTACATTTCCACCAATACAGGGGGGAAGGTAAATGGGCTTGACCATAGGTGGACTCAATGCCTAACTAATGCCTTTCCACCCTAAAAAGAGTTTATCACACAAACTCGTATTTAAATTATTCTCCACAAAAGAGCATTGGCCCCATGAATTAAATGTATATGGGAAAGCTATTCTATAGTCCCAGAACTATACATAAGCCATTTCACCAGATAACTTATTACTAATTCTCATAAAACTATATAATCTCAGTTAGAAGCTGATTGCCATTTACTCCATATCATGCATGCATCAAGTGCCCTGCATCATAGAGATCAGAATTAAAGAAACTAACCAGGATATTAAGAAAAAGTAAAATTCTCATTTTAATTAAACAACATAAAAATAAAAAATTATATTTGTAAATTCTAACACGGATGAATCTTTATAAACTCCAGAGAAAAATAGCATGAACCACAATTTTGATTTACTACTAAAGTTACAAAACATAGAGCACAGATAATCACTCGATTTCTTTTAATAGTCATTGTTTAGTGGTTTTTGTTGTTATATATAAAGGTATTGAAAATAGAGCTTCCATAAAAATCTTTAATTAAAAAGGCATATATTGGATCAAAATTTCATTTATTTTACCAATATTTCAGTTGGCGGAATGCCAACCTTTATCAAGGTATTATAACATTTTAATGTGTTTGTTGAAATTTGAGATTGAATCAAGGAATAAAAGGATTATTTATTAAACAAAGTAACTTAAAACAAGATGTTAAAGTAACAACATTTTAAAGGCAAGTAAGTAGATAGTGACGTCGACCGCAGCGCCGCCACGGCCGTTGATTGGTGGATCCCCCACGCCATTGGCTCCACGCCAATCTTTGGATCGCTTATTCCAACACTCCCTCTCGATCCAAAATGTTCAGTAGACCTCTTAAGTAGTGGAATTGGTTTCGTGGAAGAGGTTTAGTCATTATATCAGCTAGCTGTTCTGAGCTGCAAACATGATGCACTTTAAGTTCACCTTCTTCATGTTTGGATCTAATGAAGTGGTAGCGAACATCAATATGTTTCGTTCGTTTGTGAAATACTGGATTTTCAACAAGTTTTATTGCTGCTTGGTTGTCGATATAAAGTTCAGTTTCTTTAGTAATATCACAGCCGATGCCCTGTAGAAGTCTTCTGATCCAAATCAATTCCTTAGCAGCACTGCAGGCAGCGATGTATTCACTTTCGGTGGTTGAAAGTGCGATAATTGGTTGTCGTTGGCTTGCCCAAGAAACAGTTCCTCCGTTCATCATGAAGGCATAACCAGTCGTACTTTTTCTGGAGTCAACATCACGAGCAAAATCACTGTCAGAGTAGCCAACAAGTTGGTCTTGTCCAGTGATGAGAATTCCCATGTGTGGAGTGCCTTTCAGATAACGGAAAATATTCTTCACTGTTGTACAATGTGCAGGTCCTGGATATTCTAGGAATTTACTCACTTGTGAAACTGCATAAGTGATATCTGGACGTGAAACACATGATGCAAACATAAGGGATCCAACAGCTTCTCGAAAAGGGAATTTAGGCATCTTTTCCTTTTGTTCTGGAGTAGGACAGTCCTGCTTTGTTAAGATGACAGAAGGATCCATAGGCACCGAAGCAGGAATACAGTCAGCCATATTAAATTTACTCAAAATTTTGTCAATATATGATGACTGGTGAATGAAAATACTTGCCCTATCTTCTGACTGCTCTATTTGTAGCCCAACAAAAAAGTTAACACTTCCAGATGTAATTTCAAATGCGTGTTCTAACTCATCCATTATAATAGCTATTGCCTCTTTATCTTTAGATAGAATAATTCCATCATCAACATAGAGAGCTAAGATAACATTTGAATCATTGTGTGTTCCAATGAAAATGCACGGGTCGGCGTCTGATGTTTTGAAATTATGGCTATTCAAAAAATTGGTAAATTTCTTATTCCAATTTCTAGAAGATGTTTAAGACCATACAGACTTTTATGTAATCTATAGCAGCTATTATCATCTCTCTTGTAGCCTTCTGGTTGTTCAAGATAAACAAGTTCCTCTAATTCGCCATTGAGAAAAGCTGTCTTTACATCGAATTGCTTAAGAAACATCCTTTCAGAAGCAGCGTGTGATAAAAGAATGCGTAACGAATCATATCTGACTACTGGGCTAAACGTATCGAAATAGTCAACATTTTTGATTTGAGAATAGCCTTTTGCAACTAATCTGGCTTTGAACCGTTGAATTGTACCATCGGACTCCGTTTTAATTTTATAAACCCATTTACAACCGATAGGTTTAAGACCATTTGCCAAACGTTCTAAAGTCCATGTTTTATTTTTATTTAATGCATCAATCTCTTCATCCATGGCTAATTTCCATCTTTCTGAATCTGAACTCGTTATTGCATCTACATAGTTACTGGGTTCATCAGCGAGCGCAAAGTTACATTTGCTATTCGAAACCTTAGAGCGAGTCATCATTGGATGCGAACTGATATCGGAAACTGGCGGCATTTCCTGCACTGGAATGTTTGCTGTCGCAACTGGTGATTCATCCGGAGCGCTGTTAATCTGAAATTTTATTTCTTTTGGTTTGGTAGATTCTCTATCTGAATGTGCAGTAGCTTTCTCATCGAATGTGACATCTTTAGAAATTCTTATTTTTCTAGTTTTCCAATCCCATAATCTAAAATTTTTGCTTGTATTCTCATAACCTAAAAACATAAGTTTTATCGATTTATTATCCCACTTTTTACGGTTTTCTTTGGGAATATGCATATAAGCATTACAGCCAAATATTTTATAGTTAGCTACATTAGGCTTTGTGCCAAAGAAAAGTTCATAAGGTGTCGTTCCAG